CCCCCCGTGCGCCTGTGAGTCACAACAGGGCCCTGTCAAACATAGAGCAGACGCTAAGCCACACACTCTCCCCGCTCCCCCCACAGCAGCAATTGCTCCTGACAGTGTCTAATTGCACAATCCCTTTCCATTTGTCAAGACCCACCAGTCTCCATGCAAAATAGAGACTGACAGTCGGGTGGGGGTGGACATATACCACAGCTGAGGAAGCAGAGACATCTTGCTAAGAGTGACGAGGGTGCATTGGGAAACAGAAGCTTCTAGTAGGTATGATAAGAAGTGTGTGGCTCAGGGCCTGGGCCTTGGAATTGAAAGGCCTGGGCTAGACTTCAGATGCTGCTCCTTTCTAACAGGGGATCTTGGGCAAGTTGCTTAATTTCCCCAGCCTTTAATTTTTCTCATCTATAAGATGTGAGATTAGAGCACACAGATGAAATGGGATGATTATAAATCACTGTGAGCAGTGCCTGGGTCAATAACTGTCAGCTCTCTCAGTGTTTCATGTCTCCTGCCTTTTGGTTACCATATCCATTTCTGATTAGATCTCTCCAGGTTGCTGGGTGTTATTTCATTCTGGTGCTGGGTTGTCAGTGGGTGGTGGGGTTGGGTGGGTCACACTGGGTGAGAGGAATCAAGAAGCTTTTACGGTGGCCTTGATCCCTAGGCCTTCTCAGATAGGACTTCCTTCTGTCTGACAATTTCCAGCCCATCTGGAAGGAGTGAAGGTAATTTACAGAGCTGGAAGATATGTGGGATTGATTTTGTTTGCAGAAATTCCAAGTGTGCAAATATTTTCACAGGTTCCTTACTTATGAACTCGGGCTACAGGTTGAGAACTTCCATGTTATAACTCATCAGTAGTGTTGTAGCTTTGGGGGAACTTCTAAATGATCTTTCTTTTCCATTTTGGAGTAATTGAGAAATAGGAGCTCATAGCTGCAGGACTGGAGATTTGACCTGTGGTCCTGATGAGGCTGTCTGCTCCTCTCATTCTAGACTGACCTTTGCAGGTGGTCCCAGGTGGAGCTGGACAGCCCAGGCCCCTCCCCAGGGAAGGAAGAAGCAAGGTATCTGAGTCCTCAGTTGCCACCAAACACCTAGGGCCAAACCTGCCGCTTCCCAGGTCCTAAACCCCAGGGCCCCCAAGTGGCCTAACAGTGGCACCTATTTAGGCAGAGGCCCTTGAACATCCTCACCACCCGGTCTCTCTCACTTTCCTTCCAGCTGGACGTGAAGTTTCATTGAATACCTTCCAACAAATCCTAGCTCACTTCCAATCATACTCGAGCCCTCCACCACATTGGCGATTCCAGCCATCCTCATTTCCCTATGGACAACCTGAACACCTTCCCTTCTGCTTTCTTTGCTGCTCTCTCGCTACCAAAGTTTCTCCACCCAGCAGCCAGAGTGATGTTTTAAAAGTATCAGACTCCTCATGGTTTCTTATTAGAAGAAATCTCCAAGCTTTCTATCTCTGCCTTGCAGGCTGTCCATGATGTACCCGCCCAGTGCTCACCTCCTTCCACCCCTACCCACCCCCTCACCCTTGCTCACACAGCTATGGGGCCCTTCCTGGGGTTACTTGAGCATTGTGCTCACTCTGGCCTCAGGACCGTTGTACATGCTGTCCCCTCTCTGGCACTATTCAGGTCACTGCTCAGCTGCTGTCTCCTTGGAGAGGCCTCCCCAACCATTGTCTGAAAGAGCTGCTCTCTCTGTCACTGTCTTCTACTTTATCTCATTTTTTGAATGTTGCTTTTTACTATTTGACACGATAGTATGCCTTTCTAAAAGCTAATTTGTGTGGATCTGTGTCTGTTCTATTTGGTGCTGGTTCCCCAGAGCCTCACATGGGGCCTGACAAAGAGTAGGAGCTCATCAGTCCTATAGCTGGGTGATCTGAAAGGGAAAACCAGGAAGGGACCAGCTCACACTGCACAGGTCCTTCTCCCAGGCTCACTGATTGGTTCAGCCATTCCACCCTTGTAGTTCGAAGTCAGAAGGCATACACTGGATCTCCCCACATTTCCTCAAAAAAAAAAAAAAATTCCCCTATCACTTGGCTCAATAAAAGATGATTCAGGAAGCAATACTATCTACATAAAACATGAATTCCATCTGAATTATTTCCACACAATTAAAAAAGGAACTTGGAAAATATAGCACCAATGAAATGCTTGTGGAATTATATTTATCACTAAATTTTAAAAGATTTTCTTAAACAATTTATGTATTACAAAGTACTTTCCTTTTGTTTTTGTGGTGCTGGGGATTGAACTCAGGGTCTTGTACATGCAAGGAAAGCACTCTGCCATCTGAGCTATTTCCCCAGCCCTGCAAGTACTTGGATGCAGGTTCTCCTACTGGGCCTTTCATAACAATTCTGGGATATGAGCAAGGTGGGTTTGACGGTGGCAGTGGCACAGATTAGGAGACTGGGGACCAGGTGCTAAGATGTTGGACTCCAGTGCTACCTTTGTAGCCATAAAAGCCAGGACCCAAATCACAGCCATTGGACCCCACATCCAGCCCCTTTCCCTTGATGCCATGCTGCTGCGCTTTATGGAGACGCCAGCCAGGTCAAGACTGCCAAGCCCCTAGTTCATGCACACCTCTTAATTTCCGTAGTCACCTTTCTGACAGACATTTTTTTTTTAAATGTCAACAGCTGTTTATACTGGAGCCTAGTGTAAAGAAGGATTCTCTAAATCTCAGAAGGAAAAGAAACCTGCAAAAGTGTATCACTTGTTCATGCATTTTTGGCCTCCTGGGACCTTCAGATGGAAGCTTCTGGATGGAAATCAGTTCTGTTTTCTGCACCTGACTCTTCCATTTAGTGCCTGTGGAACACTGACCACTCCATGAGTGGCACACACACTTCCACAGTCCCCTGCAGGGCCCCCACCACAGATGAGAACTAGGACTATCATAATCCTTATGAGGCTCTGGGGATTGGGAGAATGTCAATGCGGACCTCCATAACCATTTCTTCTCCAGGCACAATGACGCCTGTTCTTTCTCATCCTCTAGAAAGCACTGTGCCATCTCTTGCTCATTTTCCTTCTCCTCTCCAGACACTGGGTGAACAGCCCTCTTAGTTACGTGCTACAGCAGATGTGAGTTTAGAGCCACATGGCCACC